TGCAACGTGCGCACAAAGGAATTTAAAGAGGAAACCAATTTTACGTCATATAAAAAAAAATATTCTGGTTATCAGATACTGCTGCATCACTTAAAAAGGGCAGGGTGGGTGTACGGGGAATGGCTGAACGGTTAAACGCGTGCATGAAAGAACACAGCGTCTGTCATCAAATCAAGTTGTGTGGTTTCATTCCCCGCTTGTGCGTGACAAAGGTACAGTGAAATACGTTACGCAATGAAATACGCCACGCGAGTCCAATATTTCACAAGTATAAATAATGTACAATTGGCAAATTGTCCGAACGAATATTTTAAATAATGGTACGCCAACATCAAAGGGTGACGTCACATCTGTATTTTAAGTAGATATAACGGGTTGTTAAACCATGGATTGTACTGTATAACGTAGAGAAAACACCATATTCCTGAAGCAATGGCCCGAGAAATCCATCTCTAGCCATTGCTGTACTGAGACCGAAATCTTGGGTTTTTGACCATCCAACCAAATCACTCCTCAGGGGAATTTTCACGACTGACCGCTTAACGGGAGTTACGTCTTAATAAAATCTCAGTGTTTGTTAGTAGGCCTATTGATTCAAGTAAAATTGTACGCTTGGGTGCATCGGGAGCAATCATCGATACTCGCATCGGTAAATTGTGCCGTCGCTGAAGTCCGCTATTGGAACGAAAATTCTTTGACTCAAATCTCCGATATAAGCCTCTGATATAAATTCTGTAAACTTGTCGTTTGTACCAACATTAATTATTGTCCACGTATTAAATAATACGTATCCTTACTTGTGAAGAAAATTCATGAAATATCAAAAAAGCACAAGTAAAAAACAAACAAAAAAGTTTTGGAATTCGTATTTCTATCGAGTTTGACATTCCAAGTCTTTTTTTTAAAACAATATTTTGATTCATTAAATCTAAATTCGTATTTCTATCGAATTTGACAGTCCATCTCTTTGATCCGTTTTTTTTTGTAAGTCCAGGACAGTTGATTAAATGTATTAAAAGATGGTGGAAATATTGTTCGTCTGGTGTGTGGTCTACGGTGGCTCATGATACGACTTTTTAATATTTTGTAATTTTGGGTTTTGTTTTTTAGTTTTAGGTTTGTTTTTTTAGTTCTCACCAAATGGAAACGTTTTCACATAGGTGACAAAATTTCACCTAGGTAGTAACTTACTACAAATTACTCCACGATATAACATAGTCATGATCATTGTTCAATATAATGATCACTACTCTTTGCGAATTGTATGCCCATTGACTTAAACTTCTTTATTCTCCAAAACTATAGATACATAGTTATTGGGATAATGTAAATTTATATACAATGGTTCAAACGCAAATGACATGTGCGAACAATTAAGTAATATCAATAATTAATAAATGATAGTGACAATAACAATAGTGGTGTATATTAAGTATATAACAAAAGGCTTTCATGGAGGATTAACTTTTAATGTAATGATTTTATTGAATCGACATAACTTCTGTAATACAACAGTGTTTTAACAATTAATAAGATTTTGAAAATTGAATGTATTTGGACAATTTTGGCGCTTATCTGGCAATAATCGTTTTCTTTCAGAAGATATATATTTACAATTTGAAATACAGCGGAATTCGTCACCGATGTCGGCCGAGTCACATACATGACAGAATCTTTGAAAATTGAATGCATTTGAACGATTTTGGCACCAATCTGGCAATAATCCGTTTCTTTCAGAAGAAAAATATTTACAATTTAAAATAAAGTGGAATTCTTGGTGTTTTAATCCACGTCCCCGACTAAATCGGTAATCGGTGACTTCCAAATCTGAATCTAGACAAGGTTTGTATGTTAATGTTTGTTAAATTGATAAAATATGGTTCTAATTTGATATCGGTTTTAAATATTTTGTAACAAAGACATTTTGGTGAACATTGTTTATCTGCTAAACATTTTTGTAAAAATTGGTCTTTCTTTTAGTGATATTTCAATTCTTTTAGTTGTCCAATTATGTATCTAATATTTGAAAGTTCCACGTATAGGAAAATCCGATTTCATTTAAAATATTTTTCAAGAAATAAACCCATTTGTAATCAAAATTATATTTGGAACTGTTGATATATAAAAGTTTATATAAGGAAAACGATAGTTTACCGTTTAAGAGTCTATTCCAGAATTTTGAATAGCCTCGTTTGCCACACAATTAGTATTTCTGCAATATTTTCCTATGCACTGGTTATTAATTGTGCATAATAAATTTCCTTCGTTACGACGTTAGGACGTAATGTAGCCGGGATTGTCGTTATATGCTTTTTTTATATTCACATATAATAGCGCTCAGGTAAATCCCGATTGATTTGCTATGCTGTAATGTATTGGTTGTTGATCGGACTGTTAACCAGTCATAATTTGGAATGGAAATTTGCTGTGAGTCTGGCAGTGTTTAGTGGGATTAGGTATAATCAAACACTGCGAGGAGTACGGGAGATATTGATCAAAACTTTAAAGTGATGGCCTGTATTGTATGCGGTGCAGCAAAACATTGAATTAATGGGTTGTACTTTAGAGCAAAATATTACAGAAATAAGTAATACATCAAAGCAATAGGTTGTGTTGTATGGTGTTATAGTTAGTCCGAAATTTCGGATCCTGCGTCAGATCTAGTTTATGAAATAAGACAGTCAGGGGTAAATTCCCCGATTGAATCCCGTAGAGCCACCCCTCTTCTGCGTGATACTAAGTTAGAAATTAAAGTAATACACTGAATCATATATAGTAAGAAATTAAGTTAACGGACTGTAGGAAATTAAAGTGCCTGTATGGTACATAGAAAGAAATTAGATTAACGGACTGTATGGAATATACATGTACTTGAAATTAAAGTCATGCCTTGGATGATATAAAGTAGCGGACTATTTATTACAAGGCAAGAAGGTATGTTACAGGGTAAGAAATTAAGTAATGAACAGTGCGAAATAGAATAAAGGTATGTAAGGAATTAAAGTAATGCCATGGATGGTATAAAGTAGCGGACTCTATGGTACTGAGTAAAACATTACATAAATGGCTTTATGGTATAAAGTAATGGGCTCTAAGACATTACATAAAGGGCTTTATGGTATATAAAGTAACGGACTCTATGTACGGTACTGAGTAAGACATTACATAAAAAGCTTTATGGTATAAAAGTAACGGACTCTATGTATGGTACTGAGTAAGGCATTACATAAATGGTTTTATGGTATAAAGTAAGGAACTCTATGTGCGGCACTGAGTAAGACATTACATAAATGTCTTTATGGTATAAAGTAATGGACTCTATGGTACTGAGTAAGACATACATAAATGTCTTTATGGTATAAAGTAACTGGTTCTATGTACGGTACTGAGTAAGACATTATCGTTTCTTATATACTCAGCCAAATTAAAAACTTGACACCCGGGATTTTTGGGACTAGATTTTTAATATTTGGTTTAAGGTAACTATTTTAGTGTTATGTTGTGCACAGACGACCTTGACATCAACAGAAAGCAAGAATACGTCTCGCCGAAAGTCCTTGACATTGATAACGTTCGTGATGTCACAGTACCCCCCAAAATGAAATTCACAGACTTGGAGAACAATCGGAATAAAGTGTTTAGTAACGGTTGTGGCCTCCTCTAGCGTCTCGTACTGCCACACAACGTCTTCTCATGGATCTCAGAACATTAGTAAACACTACCCGAGGAAGACGTCGCCACTGCTCAGCAAGAGCATGTTGAAGGTCCTGCAACGTCAGTGGTGGATTCACTTGCTGACGAACACGTCGACCCAGTTCGTCCCAGATGTGTTCAATAGGATTAAGGTCGGGGCTAAGCGACGGCCAATCCAGGACTTGGACACCGGCATTTCTTAAAAAAATATGGGTACCAATTGCTGTATGGGGTCGAGGATTGTCTTGTTGAAACGTTAGTCATGGCCCATGTCTCTGCATAAACGGAAGAGGAACAGGTTGCAAAATCTGATCCCTGTACTGGACAGCATTTAAGTTCCCTTGGACAACAACAAGAGGAGAACGTCCATGTGCACAAAAAGAACCCCAAACCATGACGCTGCCGCCACCAAATCGGTCAACTTCTCTGACGCATACTTGAGCGTAACGTTCACCTCGTCTGCGGTACACTCGGACCCTGCCATCGGCGAATCTCAAAGTTAATCGGGATTCGCACTAAACACAACCGAATTCCACTGTCTTTGAGTAAATCTTATGTGTCTTGTGGCCCACACAAGTCGGTTACGGCGATGAAGAGGTGTCAATATTGGTCCATTATAGGGCCTGCGAGCTCGAAGACCAGCAGCCTGCAAGCGATTTCGAACAGTTTGTGCAGTTACCCTTCCACCAAACATCTCTCTACTTGTGGAGGTTGCAGTGACAAATCTGTTTCTAAGATGACGTAATCGTATTGCTTGATCTTCCTGGAGTAACGTCACACGTGGCGCTCCCGCCCTTGGGCGGTCGGCAAATAGTTCCAGTTTGAAGCATTCTTATTCTAAGATTAATTATTGTCTGGCGTGAACAATTAAAGGCTCTTGCAACAGTGACCACAGACTGACCAGCATAGAGCCTACCTATAGCACGTAGACGTTCTACATTTGAAAGGCGCGGCATTTTCTAACAAAGATGAAAATAACAATTTTAATTTGTTTTTCCAGTTCAAGTTACGTGTGCGTGTTCAGTTTAAGCAAACTTGCATCGAATGACCTCACGAGTTTGTGTTTGCGAGTGTTTTTCAGGTTTTTCATCTTTATATGCTCAAAAGTCACGTGATCCACGTGACTTTACAATTTTATGAAATTAAAGGCTTTTTACTACTTACTATCGTAAGAAACACTTTAAAATTTATTTGACTTACCAGAAAATTTTTTTTGTGGAAATTCATCAGTGTCAAGTTTTTAATTTGGCTGAGTATATTTAAATCATTCTGATAAGGTAATAATACATAAACAATTTTTTGTTTGTAAATGTTTTATAATTAGAAACTCTTTACACATCAATTATATACAATATATATACATCGTTCATTTAAATATCACTTGCTTATTTATAATAGTTTTGTCTAAAAACAGCACCGCCATGGGCTTCTAGTTCTATGATTTAACGATGAGCCTGGGGCGATTCTAATTTTTTCATTGTACCCTATACGACATAGATAAGCTGAGCTCTAATAAGTTGCTGATTTTGTATAGTTCAACCATATTTTCCCACTAATTACATCGTCTGCTTTGTGGAACAAATAAGTCAACATGATCCAAGAGGAATTTTTCTGAAGGGTAAAAACATTGTAATTAATTCTCGGATTTTATTCATGAATTTCATCTATTTTTTCATCGACATGCTCACAATGTCATTTGTCTCGGGGTTAAATTGGTTCATAATTATTTGTGTGTGTGGTTCTTTGATTGAAGCATTTATATACACATGTGAAAACTCAGAAATTTGTATGATTTTTGGTTTAAAAAACAAATAAAAAAATAATAGAAAGCCAACCCAAAACGTTATTAAGTAACGACTTTCGGGTATTCGAGTACTAATAGTAATTCAAATAGATAAACACGTGATATTATTTTTATATTCTTTGTTGCTGGGATCTAGAATCTCGAAAACGAGTTGCAACAATTTAACTTTTTCTATAAGAACGACGTAAACTGGGTACATTGGAAAAATGACTAAAAGATCACTTGGTAGATGGATTTAAAAACAAGATTTAGTCTGAATTGCTGATGTAGCTTGCAAGCCGTTATGATAGAAAGCAAAGATTAACTTATGGTTTGAAAATGAAAGAGATGTTATATTGATATGATCCTAACCTTTTGGGTTGTTCTTTCACTAAACTATAACATATATTTCCGAACTTATTCACTTTTTTCATTCTTATTTTCATATCATAAGGTCTGTCATTGAGTCAACTGGCGTGGTTTCGATTCTGCGGTTGTGCGTGAAAGTAGGGTCGCCTGCACAACTTAGTGGGTTTTCTCCGGGTCCGCCGGTTTCCTCCCACTGCTAAATACCCCTACACGCAAGCGAATTGTTGAAATAAAATTGAACCATGTGTTAGTCCGGAAATGACCTAGTTTGTGTCGAGTGGACGTTAAACCCAATTTCTCCATCTCTCTCACTCTTATTTTCTAATTGAATTCCGGTTATATGTGTACAAGATAAATTGATAAAGTTAGGTTGCCATACAACGAAGAATACACCAACAGCAGCTAAGTCGTCTGGGTAGTCAGTAGATGTTTTCACATTATGATTTTTTAAGTAAATAAAAAGCAAAGTGTATATTATTACAAGACATTACTCTAGGTTTTACACTTATTTTTCGCGATAATTCGAAATAAAAAATGTAAATTGAAGAACATGACGAATATAAATCAGAAATAATATACATTTCAAGCAGATCGGATAAGTTAATGGAGCGCCAATAAGATTCCAAACCAGTCCACAAGGACCATAACTCTGGAAGTAATTAACGTAAATGTTTAATTGGATAGGCTAGCCCGTCTCATAAATCTGAACAAAGAATAAGCAGGGTGTGGAAATCATTCTGCAGAGTAACCAACATCTACAAATTTGGAAGTTTTTAAAATTCAGTAACGCTAACAATGTATATATACATTTTGAAACGGTCGGATAACTTCATAGAGTGTTCACAAGAAAGTGTTGACGACCGCCCAACGGATGAGTGCTACGGCAAAAAACGATCACATAGGCTAAAAGATATACACTTTCAACCAGACGCACAGAATGATGGATTTGTAATATCATAAAGAACTACTTCTTGGTCATCCAGCAATCGTTCATTACTTTTTCTCACTCCATATCCAAGATATACCACCAAGCCTGAAAAATATAATATAAAATTTATTTATTACATAATTCTAAAGTAATACTTCTATAGGTGTCCTACAGACAGAGCAGCATAAACAAACAATGAGCATCAAAAGAAGAATGACGGAAGTCTTCAAGTCACACATCTTCCAATACGCAGAGTAATGATCTATATTTGCCAAAGATATTGTGTAATTATAAGTACGCTACATGACAGCTAGACTGCATGGAAATAACTGTGTAACTCGAACACACAGGCCTAGATAGGATTGATCCACTTCGAGATTAGAAGAAACTTGTTTTCGTGTTCTGATTTAAATAACACAATCAGAAATGTTTATTTCATCGTTGTGGGCAATTAAAATCCTTTACATCGACATAGTGCTAAAATGGTGTATTTATCTACAGGGGAAATGCAAGAAAATGGTCAAAACACGATTCAAAGGATATGTATCCATGATGCAGCAACCGGGCCCCTGTCTATTATCACAAGAGTTTTCGTATTACTTGAAAAATTTGAATCCAATCTCGTCATTCAGAGAACAAAGCCACTGGCCACGAACAAATTTGGTCGTCAAAGGGAAAATTAAATGAAATTTGTTTTAATCTCGGATGGGGGCTAATCATGGATATCGTTTTACCCAATTCTAAAATATGGGCCGTATTCTGAGTCTTTGGGAAATTCCAATGGGCCACACTACACTACACCCTGCGGACAACGGGATACAGAACACTGCCCAAAAAATACAGACATATCAAGCAATACACAACAACAGTATATATCAAATCAAGTGAATGGATACGGGGGCCAGCCGTAAGTTCAGCAGTTTCCAGTATTACTTTAATCAGATTTACATTTTCTTCAAATCGTTCTGATCAATTCCATGTTAAACAAACTTTTTATGATCGATCACGCTAAATCGTTTTCTGATCATCAAATGCATTTATACGACTTATACTAAATGTCTCAACAAATTAGGTAAGAGTATTATCCTCAGCGGACCACCAATCTCGTAAACGATTTTGTCAATGTTCAGACAACAGAGAAACCATTGTATAAAAACTCCCAACAAATCGCAGAATAAAAATTGATCAGTCGAGCTTTATGTTAAGACTTGTTTATCAATCCCCTAATACGTGACCTCATATTTAACGAGAAGAAGATTCCACGATGATATTGGTACGCATGTATCTAGGTGCTAGTTCTCCCATATCCGACGATTTTATCGCAGCCTTTGGGCAACTTGAATCGATTAAAACGATTGCTTGCCATCTCAGAATTAATCTGTATTATTAATGGCGCTAGTTCCACGGTCGCCTGGAAATGGCACACATAAAACTACTATAGTCTTTCGCAGGCCCTCGAGGGAAAAGAGCATCCTACAAGCCTGCTATAAGCCAATAAATTTATTATTGATAGTTTGACTAAGCTAGTAAATATCATATATTATGTCCAATTTACCCATTACATTTATTGCATTTTAAACCCAGCGACTATAAAGCATATTAAGTGAATTCTTGACCAAACAAGCTTACAACCGGCCTCGTTTACCGTGCCTTCAATTATAGATGATAAACAGCAATGGTAATGATTGGAATACAACCTCGTAGATTATATTACAAGTTAAGAGATCGATAATCTACGTAGCTTAATATTAACTATATTTTATAATTGAAATAACGGATATAAAAAGTTACATTGTATTAAAAGAGCAACCTTGGATATATTTTAGTGAATAAAACTGGTTAAACTGTTTGAAAGATTCTTAGAAACCTTTATCAGCACCATGTGCAAGTTTCTGTAGCTGATATGTGGTACTTTTTAGAATAAATCCAAAGTTTCACGTTCCTCGAGTGATTGGTGATTAGTCCTTATATCCCATGCTATATAGGTTCATATATTGGCCGAAGTAAAAGTAGTGAAAGTCGAGATATTATCAATTAACCTGCTACGTAACCCCACACGAAAAACCTTGGCGGCAACAAGAGGTATTCTAAAGCCCGAAGAATAACCAATCGAAGTAATAAAAAAAATATTTGAAGTATTAACAGTGAAGATATGAATTATAAGGTATTTTTGAAACCACCAAATTCTGCTAATAGCTTAATTGTCATTTACATGTAGAATCGTCTTTTGACGGGGTTGGTAGCGTACCTAGATTTGTTTTCAGATTTAGATTACTCGAATGATCAACACAATATCATCAGTAAGACAGATTCCAAATACAAAGCTTGCGCTGACCGCAAAACAGATTAGGCACTTCTTGTAACCAGCAAAATGTTTAAAGGAGAGGGGAGGGGGTCCACAAGACCCCTTGTTTCCGATAATGTAATACTTTTAGTTTCTTGTCAATGTTGCCGCTGCCTATTTGCGGCATTATACACGACGATAAGTAGCTTACAGTGTATAAAATTCTCGCTAGACAATTAAGAACCACTTCTGCACAAATTATGGTCGTAGGGTCCTGAAATACCGCTTGTATCCGCACAAGGGTTAAGTAAATCCAATGCTCGTTTTAGAACAGCTGAATCTCTTCATTTCAAACTTTCAGACGAGGCAATTTGGCTAATTCATCAACTTTTGGAGTTTGATTCGCATGCTTATGCTAACCGTTGTCAACGCATACCATGTGAAGCCTGGGACCACCCCTTTAAACATTTCATTGTTTTTGTGTGGTCTAAATGAATAAAGCGCACTGCAATTTGGATAGTTTTCGATTTACCATGATTTGATTAGACAGGCACAGGAAGGGAACAAGTTAGATTATACATATGTAAAGTTTAAGCCAGACCTGCCATTATGTAGATGTTTATATACTCATCACAGCCGTAAACTATGATGGTTTTAAATGAATTCAGCAGACCCTCGTGGGAATGATTTGCTCTTAGTAGACCAGTGGTTGGATTTTCTTTATATGGGTAAGTCTAGGGTTCAGTTCAAAAAATTCCAATATATAAGAAAATTCCATACAACTCACAATAAGTGTCTTATCAAATATAATATTGGTTGTTGTCATAAAATGCGATTTAAGACTAAATAAAACTTACTAGGTCCACATTGAAACAATAGAAATAATCAAAAACAAAAGTCATTCATTGAAACTTCTGATTATTCAAAATGTATTGAACATCATACATCAAATATTATTTTTCAATCGTGGCGAATCCAGCCTCAACTGTTGTGGCAACTGATCTACAAATTTTTTCACCAAAATAAAACGAAACGAAAAATTATAAATTGGTAAAATAAAATATTTTCAATAAATTAATGTTCATTCTAAGACATCCCAGGGGACATCACTCGATAGGAATATCGATAAAGTTCGAAATAATAATGAAAATTTAACTTTGAAATCATCATTTTAGAAAATCTTTCAGTCACGTTTAAACTTAAAATTTCACAAATCAAGTCTTTCTTCCTTTTTCATCAATAAAACTAGTTTAGTTACTGGACGTTTCAATACATTCCCATCTGAATATTTTACATCCACAATTCGTACTAAATTATCATCTCCGGAATAAGTGTTTATAATCTCTGCTAACTTCCATTTTCCACGTTTAACATTTTCATCAACGACCAAAACTATGTCTCCTTTATTAAGGTTTTCTCGGGTGTTTGGCCATTTGTCGCGAGGTGAAAGTTTCTGAATATTATTCATCCATCTACGCCAAAATCCGTCTATCATTGTATTACAAAGTTCTCTTCTCTTACGAAGATTTCCGGTGTATTCTTCACATGGAACAACTGGGTTTTTTAAATCTCCTCTTCCTATAAGAAAATGATTCGGTGTTATCGGCGGATCATCCAAAGGTGACGATGAACTTAGGGTAAGTGGGCGACTATTCAATAAACCACTAATTTGAGCAAAAATTGTTTCCCATTCAACAAAAGAAAGTTTGTCTGCTTTAACTAAATGTCTCATCGATTTCTTAATTTCCTGTACCATACGTTCTACAGCTCCCTGGTGATGCGGTCCACCAGGAGGTCCGAACTTCCATGTTATATCAAAACGTTGACAGTTCGAGCGTATTTCATCTTGATTCAAACGTAACTGTAGTTCGCGTATTTCATTGTCTGCTCCTCTGAAGCATGTAGCGTTATCACTGATTAAAAGTCCTGGTGCTCCACGGATACTAATAAAACGTTCTAGCGCTTGTAAAAAAGCTGCAGTAGATAAATCCTGAACACATTCTAAATGTACTGCTCTTGTCACTGCACACGTGAAAACTGCACAATAACCTTTTGTTACTGTATTACGATTAAGTTTAACATTTACTGGCCCTAAATAATCCATCATTGTAGTCTGAAAAGGCGGGGTACATGGCTTTATACGAAAGTCTGGCAAATCAGCCATTCGTTGCTCTACTGTCTTCCCACGATAACGAATACAAATTACACATTGGCGAACTATTTGGCGTGATAAATTAATATCTCCAATAATCCAATAAGTCTTGCGTATTTCAGCTGCTGTTCTTAGATGCCCTCCATGTAATGAATACTTATGTCTCTCTAAAGCTATAAGATAGCTAATATAACTTTTCTTCGGAAGCAAATACGGATGACGAATATCATACGAAATTGGTGCATTGTGAATTCTTCCTCCAACTCTATATACTTGATCTGTATCGTCGTAGATTGGTTCCAGTTTCATTATATGACGGTTATCGAAATCCAAATCTTTTTGGGCATATCTAATCCAGTATAATTTTGCTTCATTGATTCTTTTGCGAGAAGGCCAACGAAATATAGTCGTCGTTAAATCCTTTAACCATTTATTCCTAGGGATATCCTTAAGCGATAAGATTCTTGCTGTTACCATTACCAGACGAGTCCAACTTGAGAACCGACGAGGATCCAATAATGTATTGTCTTGATCAAGTCGAGCAGCTAGAATTTTGGCATTTCTGACGTGGTATTTCTTAAGTTCTGTATCTTCTCTATCAATAGAAACATTAGGAGTTATTGGCCACTCATTCGAAGATTTACGTAAAAATCCAGGCCCGTTGATAAC